ACATCGAGCTTCTTTTTGAATCCAAGGTTATGCAAATGGTTCCAAACGGTTTTCTGGCTTATCTTTAGCTCCTCAGCAATTAAATAAGTGCTCACGTGACGGTCTGTTTCCACTATTTTCATGATTTTATCGCAATTTTCGACGACAGGCCTCCCGACGCGTGGTGCATCTTTGACATCGAAATTACCGGAACGGAACCTAGGAAGTCTCTTTTGTGCTACACGTTCGTTTACAGTATCAGGCCCATAAACTAAATTAATGTTTTCAGCCGCTTTAGCTGCATTTTTGCCTTGATCGAAGAAAAATTGTAAAATATAGCGAATTTTCTCTTTGTTGGTGTCCATCTTTGACGAGCGCTCACAACGAACTGAGTAAATCAATCGAAAAACTGTCAAAGACAAACTTTTAGCGCGAATAAACCCGTTTTCAGCGTTGTATAGTATAACATGATGCGACACGTAACACTAGTACTATGGACAATAACGCCATCTCTTAGATAACAACCGAACGAACTTTTTACTTGACCTAATATATTATATAAAAATGTCACTTATCAATAAATACATGTGCGCGCACTATATGTCTATACCGATAGTGGCGCAAGTACGGACATGTTTTGTGAGTGTCCCGACTTATGGAACATAAAACAAAGTTTACAAAATTGTTAATAGTCCGAAGGTGCGCGAAAAAACAGAGTACAAACGCAACTAACAAACCGGAACGCAACTAACAAAGAAAAGTCGTACAAGCGGTGAGTGCTATTTTTATTTAGAAATATTTATTTATTTCGAGCGAAGGTCCGCACAAAAGGGAATACGCAAAGAGCGCTCTCTCAGCTGTTCATATTGCCATCTCCTTTTTTTTTATTCTTTTCACACCCTCTTCAAACAAATAATGAGATAAATTCCTGAGGCCTGAGAAAAGTAAAATGGCTGGAATGAGTCCATTTACACGGAGCAGTAAAACTGCCCGATCTCCCGAGCAACGGGTAATAACGCCCGGCACACAATCGGTTAACGCTGCAACGCAAACTGCGCTTGATAAGCCTTCCAATAAATCAATGCGAACAGCAGATAACGTGATCGTAGCCAATCTGCCATCAACACAAAGCGACACTAAATCCGACCCCGTCAAAAACATGAGCGAAGGAGAGAACGCGCTCACTGCATTGGGAGTGCTCGTAGATGAACTAATCGCTCTCACACATGGCCAAAAACAAAGGCATGTGAACCATAACATGAAAAATATCATAGATAGGATATCGCAGCTACAAAAGCAAGCACTCGCTGAATTCAAAGAGTCAACAACCCACTCAATCATCCAGGCGAAAAGAGGCCGCAGTATGCACACTGATGAACCAATAGCAGATGATCACACTAAGCAACAAATTAAGCGAACATGCACAAACTCGCCAAAAACCCGTGCAAAAACAAATCTGATTAATCAAGCTAAGTGATAAATAATAACAAATGACCGCGCTATACCTCACACTTTTGAAGGCGCTGTAAACCCACCATCAACGACAACCCAAGAAACTCAACAAAATAAAGGAACAGGTAATAACTCTAATGACCCTCAAAGTCCAAAAACACTGCCGTGGAATATTGTAGCTAGAAAAGCTACAGCAAACCACAAACCGCAAAACCCCCAAAAACAAAGCCCCAGGCGATATTAATTTCTAAGAATGGAAACCTTACTTATGCCGAAATACTTAGGAAAATTAAGTCCGATTCTACTCTCAGCGAATTCGAAAAGAAAGTTACCCGAATTCGTAAAACACAAGGCGGTAAAATGCTGCTGCAACTAAGCGGTTCAGCAATGTCAGCCGACTCGCAAGAAATAATGAGGAAATGCCTTGGCGACCAAGCAAATATAAAAGTTATGACCCTATAGACACTTATAGAGTGTAAAGACTTGGATGAAATTACAACCAAGGAAGAAGTACTTTATGCGCTAAAGAGAGAGTTGGGTAACAATGATCTGACAATCTCATCTATTAAGAGCCTAAGGAAGTCCTACAGAGACACCCAAACAGCGTTTATTAAACTCCCAGTTGAGAATGCCAGGAAACTGCTTCAATCCAAGAAATTAAAAGTAGGGTGGGTAATAATCAGAGAATACAGACAGCCTCAACGGTGCTACAGATGCCTCGATTATGGACACACAGCGAAGAGCTGCGAAAACGAGGACAGGTCTAAACTATGTAGAAGATGTGGTGAGGGTGAACACCAGGCTACGGACTATACCAATAAGCCAAAATGCTTGCTTTGCTTGAAAGCAGGCTCTAGTGAAACGGATCACTTTACTGGGAGCGTCAGATGCCCAGTATACAAGAAAGAGGCTCAAACTCAAAAATGAATGTGAGGTGCTTACAACTTAACCTAAACCACTGTCAAGCAGCACTTTACACATTACTGTCAGTTCTTGAGAAGCAGATCAACGTGGCCTTACTCAGTGAACCCTATAAAATCGTGGAAGGTGCAAACTGGACGTGCGATTCGAGGAATTAAGCGGCTATGTGGAAATGCAACCTTAACTCTCCTCTGATAGATCTGACTTTCGTCCAATCAAATCTTGTCATGTTCCTGGCGAACTAAAACGTTCGACCCTGACCCCTCGTGACGCATCAATATCGCAACGACCACGTTCCACTAAGATTGCAAGCTCGCACCATATTTTCTAAGTATTTCATATTACAACAAATGCATTCATAAGGAAGGCGCGTATGCTACAAAAGAAAGTACGACCGTTGATAACTCTGCACTGCGCTATTTTTTCTGTGCGCCTGGTCAACCAAATTTGGTTTTCATATGAAATTCCTACCGCAAATGCACGAAAACGAAGTTTAAATAAAAATGAATTAAATTGAATTTGAATGTCTTCAGTAAAATTGAAGAATCAGCAAAATTTCAATTTTATAATTTGTATCACTAAAAATCCTACCATCCCCCTCGCATTTGTATGTTGCCACAAGCCGCTTCCTCACAACATTTGCTAAAAATCAGAAATTGAAGAATTTCTCTGATGTTCTCTTCAGAAAGGAGAATTGACAACATGGCCCATTATCAACTTGAAATATTATTTTAATTTATTTCATATAATTCATTATATAATATAAGATATTATATTATAAAATTTATATAAAATTGCCATTTATATGAAATTCCTTATTACTAATATTAGTTCTAATCACATTTCATATAGTGCTTATGCATCATTACTTAATATTATAATTTCATTGATTTTCGATTTAGCCCATTTTATCTAAATTCAATGGCATGAAAATGCAGCCCAATCGGTAGTGGGCAGAGGCGTTTAAACGGAGGATTTATATTATATTATTGTATTGATAATTTGTATAGAAAAATACTTATATCTTAGGGCTTATTTAAATAATAATTTATTATAATATTTACGTAAAAATATAAATACACATAAATTCATACTTATTTAAACGTTTTTAAAACAAATTCGATTAATAAAAATATATCTGAAATAATTATGTGGCAGTGCGACCCTGACCCTTCTTGCCTGCGATCGTGCTTCACGCCAAAAGCAAAAAGTGTAGACAAAAGTCATTGTTGTGCAGGGCAAGAGGAAGCAAGCATCAGCTAAAATGTCAAATAATAAAAAAAGATAAATAAAAACTAAGATTTATGATTTACAGGATTCGAACATAAGCGTTTGTAAGATTTATGATTTACAAGATTCGAACATAAGCGTTTGTATTCGGAATGGCTTAACTCCTTCACGCTCACGACCTGAGCCACCGCAGAAGTGCAACCGCGGCCGCTTAGCCACTGTTTTATTGTTATCCTTTGCCTATTAGATATTGTTCATGTAACGCACAAAAATGTGTTGAAGAATTTATCTGTTAATTACTTATTTTGTTGTTAACCTGCGGCTTTAACCAAGAATCATCTTATATAATTCGAAATTATGATTTTTGGTAATATGCAAATGTAAATCAATGTATAAATCTATACAATCTTCTATCTATCTTATACAATGTTTAGTACTTCTTAACATTTCTCTATTTATTAACATTCTCTGGTTGAACGATCACAGGAAAGGAGCCCCCGGCGCACTGCCACATTTTTATATCAGATATATTTTTTTTAATCGAATTTATTTTAAAAACGATTATAAGTATGAATTTATGTGTATTTATATTTTTACGTATATATTATTTATATAACGAAAATAAGTCATTAATGCATCAGTATTTTTCAATAAAAATTAAGCAACATATTAATATATTCTGAGTCCTTACTTGACACGCCTATGTGCATGGTGGCAAGCCAACGAAATAACGGCGAGTTCGCGTAGACTTTGTGTTGCTGAAAATACCAAATGACGACTTTGTCGACAAACATACATATAAACATACATACATATACATATGCTCATTTGAAATATTGCGATTACCAATGAGGCTGTAGTTTCATAGCGTCGTTTTTAGATAAAATGGGCTAAATCGACAAACTATGAAATAATGAAAATAAGTAAACATATAAAGTACTATATGGAGTGTGCTTAGAGTATATAAAAGTAATTAAAGATTTTATATGAACGGCAATTTTATATAAATTTTATAATATAATGACACATACATTGCATAATATGAAATAAATGTTAATAAAATTTATAATCGCTAATAGGCCATGTTGCCGATTCTCTCAAGAGAACAGCAGACAAATTCTTCAGTTTCTGATTTTTAGCATCGTCCTGGGAAGAAGCTTGTGGACAACATACAAATACGAAGGAAATGGTAGGATCAATTGTAAAATTGAAATTTTGCTGATTCGTCACTTTTACTGAAGACATTCAAATTCAATTTAATTCATTTTTATTTAAACTTCGTTTTCGTGCATTTGCGGTAGGAATTTCGCGCCTTCCTTATGAATGAATTTATTGGCGTTGTAATATGAGATAGTTAAAAAATATAGCGGGAGCTTGCTCGAATCTTACTGGTCGATAATGGTGCATCTGCGATTTTTTTGTTTTTTGTTCTACAATATGCATATTGAGGGACATATAGGCAAATATATTTGAACATGCGAATAAAATATATACATACAAATTCGTCATTTGAAACATGTAAACGACGACACATATATTAGCCGTTCCTTTATAAGGTGGTGAAAATTTTCTTGGTACCTTCTTAGAGTGTAGTTTGTTGAGTTCGCTTATAAATAGGGGAGGGCGCCTTTTTGACATGGCACAATTTAATTTTCGAATTTGCTCATTTTTGATGTTCCCTTTTAAAAATTTACATTTTAGCACAGCTAAAACTTGCGCCTTCTCTATTTATTAACGTTCTCTGCATTAACATTTCCTGTCGCTTCATGTTTCATTCGAAACTTTCACTTCAAAAATTGTTCATTTGTTGTGGTAGGGTTAAGCTTTTAGCCGAATGATAGAAACAAGATTCCGCCATCGTGACATAATGATTTTAAGAACGTTTACAAAAAAAAATAAAGGTACAACCTTGGGCTTATTGTCACTCCCCATCATTCTTGGCCTTTACGGATTAATCAGCTGATAACCGAGCATGCGCTATGCAATCTGAAATCACAGGGTGTCGCCATATATGTTTGACAAACCAAAATATTATAGTTTTTTAAATGTTTTATTCAAAATCGTACGATACGAAGAACTCATAATTTTTTAAGAAAATGTGATATATGAAATTTTATATACAAGTTCAGCATATTTACGCAAATACATATGAATATGGATGTACATATATACAAGGGCGTAATACACGTGCAGATAGTCAAAAAGATTACGGTGGAGAAATAACACCCTACAAATGCATATGAGCTTTTATGAAACATTGATATTTACCATATGTATCTGTAGTGTGCTCCATGAGATGATACTTCTAGCGACGTGCTGTGTAATATAAATATAGGCGTTTTTTTGTGAAAAACATATGCACCAGCACATAAAACGTGTAAAAAGGCAAAATATTTAGTGAATTTCAATTACTTGATATAAGATTTCCATTGCGAAAACTTCATCGAACTGAATATCTACAAGATCAATTTAAGTAAATGTGTAAGTCGCATATATTATATATTCGTGAATTCGTTTTTTTAAAAGCAGAGCCTTCGATTGCTATGCATATGCACATACACACTTGTGGTTGCTTGTTTTGACTTTTGAAAACGAAAATGAAAAGTGTGTTTTGTGTTTGCAATACTTAAAAAATGGAACGTTTATGAAACTGTGTTATAACAAAGGTGACGAAATAAACGTTTCTAGTTCTCTAATAGAAACATTACGGCTTGTTTTTGTATGTACAATTATGGATTTATATTTGTGAATTCAGTTGGGTCTATTAATATAGACCCAGTTTGCTATTGCAAACTTATGGGAGTATGAGCTTTGAAGCGTTCGTAAATGACCTCTGGTGCTGATTTTGCAGATGACAAAGGACAGATTTCAAGCATTCGTTGTCCTATCAAGGTTGAGTGCTATCATTTTTATGTGGAATTCAGTTAAAATTTATTACTTATCATAAAATATTTACACTTTATTATTTTACTGCTCTAACACTATTTTATTAATTGGTCCACTATGATTGAAACTATTTGGCTTATTTAACTGTGATTAATTAATAAAACCCTTAAAATTTAAACAATTGGAAGTCACACTTTGGCACTGCATTACAATAACATTAAAAATGTTATATATGTATACTATGTTCAAATTAGATTTTTTTTTGTTTTTTAATGAATATGTCAAATTGAAGTATCACAACAGACGCATTGAGAGAAGAGATAAAAAGAGAGCAGCGATGTCTCTATCTGAAATGTCACACAGCATAGAAATTAAAATTCAACAGATTTCTGTCATGTCCTGCGTTCGGTAATCAAATACATGCAAAACGTGTTAAACAGATTATTTATGTGACAGTTTTCATGTATGGCAGTGCTATGCTATGTGTGATTTCTATGCTGTGTGAAACAGATGCGGCCATGGCTGCTCTCCTTCTATCTTCTCTCACAATGCGTCTGTTTGAACACTTCAATTTGAAATTTTCATTGATGATAATTGATATTTCCGTGTTGTCACAAGCATTAAATAAATATAGTTTAAAAACAGGTCATCAGGTTAGCACATATCACCTTTTTCTAATACATTTTTAGCCAGGAAAATGTTTTTAAACTTATGTTTAACAAATTTTAACGTTTATATATTGTTCTAGTGATGAGTCGACCTCGTCTTGTTGAGAATGATCCTATATATCCGATTATGTTGCAAAGTTCTAAACAAATTTTTAAAATGGGGAAATGAAGTTTCCACTATGTTTTATACGCGTTTGCTTTCATATTAGTATTCAATAATTGCAGTTCGTGCGTACCATATTAGAAGATGATTTCCCACACCGTCACACCGCTTACACAACTACGCAGTCGCTCCAACGGATGTTCCTCCTTCCGAAAATCATGGAAATGATAATTGTATCCATCGGCTCTTCCAAATTAATTTTTTTTGTCTGAAAATACAACATTGTGAAAATCAGACTTTAAGGACGTGTGTTCCGGTGCAAAATATAATCTTGTTTCTTTTCAGGGAAGTTTTGGTAGTTTTTTTTTAAGTTTTAGTAGTTTCAAATATGGAGCTTTCCTTAACACCATTTGAACAGTAGATAGTCAGATAATCAGATTAACATCAGAATTTCATGAGAGTTGGATGCTTTTTTTAAATTGCTCTCTTGCTAACATCGGAAATCTCTTTTTTGTTACCGCCTTTATTATTCCGACCGTACTCCGACTTATTATGCAAGAAATTGTCTATAACTTTTCGACTTCTGCTAACCGGTTTGGATATTTCAATTATTTAAAGCTGTAACTCTTCATAAACTTCGATTATTGCCTTCTTTTCAACCGATAGTGAGTTTCCTTTAGCCATATTAAAAAAATAGAGCACTTACGCAATCCAAAAAATTTACTGTCATTACGTAATCAAACTCCAAAGATAAATTCAAATCAAAATACATGTGCTTACCTGATGACGCAAAAATAAAACACACTTTTCAAACGAAAGGAACAGAAGATAGCAAAAACTATCTACGAGGTGTATTTAAGGGAAAGGGTGAATTTAGATTTTTCGCGGTCTGTGTACATTCAATTATCAATATTTTGCTATTTTTTTTAATCGGACACATATGTATGTTTATCATGTGCGTGCATTAGGAGCCAATTTCGATTAGTAGTTTGTTTTTGACAACGGAAAAGGTTAGTCACGTTTTTGTGTGCTTTCCGATTTTTGAACTAAACTGATGACGAAACGTGGGTATATGGTAATGGCGTCGAAACCAAGGCCCAAACATCCCAATGAAAGCTGCCAGAGGAGCCAAGACCGAAAAAGGAACGGCAAATTCGATCAAATGTGGAGGTTTTGCTCACTGCTTTCTTTGATTACAATGGTGTGGTGCATCATGAGTTCCTGCCAGAAGGTCGTACAGTTAATTAAGAAGTTATGTAATGTTTGCGTGAAGCAATACGGCCCAAAACTGAAGAAATCAATGAAATAAAAGCGATGGTGTTAGTGTCCTTACTGTGGAACAAGTGGTAATCAGCGAGCAAAAATAATGTCTTAATTTGTAACCTAAAAACATCTTTTAATATATACTCGTATACATACAAGTATATTATATAATATGTGCTAGAACTGCGTCAATTGTATAACAATTGTCACAGCCTAAGCCGAAAAAAGTAACGGTAAATACTTGTCGTAATCTTGTATTCTATCATGTTGACATTACTCAATTTGTATATTCAAGTTTCTTTTTTAATTACTATAAAATTTTGAGACTGGCAAGAGAGCAATCAGCTGATTCGTTTCTACGGGAAAAATCCAATTTTCGCGGATATCCCACGTTAAGGACGGTAGAAGCGGACGGCAGAAGTGGTGGTGAGTGTTCATTTACATTGCGCTCTCATAAGATAGTTGGTATCAGCTGATACGGTATACGGTTTTTCGTCGTTCATTAATTAAAGCATAATCCACTACTGACAGCAAGACAAATTTTAAAACACATAGAATTAAAATACCAAAAGAAATTATATCCAGATATAACGTCCGGTGTGTTTAACGTGGGTACCTGTTGAAGACAGCACTACCCCACCGTGCTCAAAAGCACAGCGGATCAAATCAATGCGTTGAATAGATCCCCGAAAATGCCAGGCATTTTTCAGTACTGTGGAATGGACACAAAAACCACCTTGTAGGGTTCGAGGCCTATCTAAAACCTTTGCCGTACTTACGTCCCGATAGAGTAGGAAAACTTCTAAAAAGAGTCGGATTTCATTGAAGAGGCACACGAAGAAAGTCTTTCATATCGAGAGTAAATCGACTTAAGTCTTTACAAATGAGCACTTAAACAACCTCCAGAGCTTTGGAAAATCGTTATTTTTTCATATGAGAGTAAGTTCTGCATTTTTGGCATAAAAGAACGTTAAATTGTATGGAAGAAAAGTGGAACAGTCTGGATAAGCAAAATCTGGTACTTACGGTAATGCATGGTTATGTAGGTGCTATGCTGTGAAGGTGTATGGCAAGTTCATGGAAAATTTCTTTTTTTTTGAGTTGATAATGAACAAGTATGACTATCTTGACATTAAAAAAACAAATTTAAAAGAAAGTGCAGTCAAGCTGGGACTAGGTGTACAACTTTTTTTCAACAGGGCAGCGACTCGAACACACAGCAGAAATAATGAAGCTGCGGCTACTGTATAATATATCAAAACAACAACCTAAAATCAATTGAACACTTATGGACTACATATGCATAATAACATGAGTTTGTATACTATACATTTGTAGTTGAACTTAAAATGTTTAATGAAATTAGCTAAAGGCTATTTTTTCTTATAATTTCACGCCTGAACACGCAATCCACAAAAAATAAAAACATTACTATTACGAACATTTTATTTCACTTGTCTAAAGATTCAACCATCACCATTTACGGTCTAATACTTTCTTTAGTCACTACCATATTTTTAAATTTTTTGGCTAAGATGTCTAATGTCTGTAAGCCCACGATTACTTCATCTTTTAAATCGCGTTAGGAGTCTGCATCCTTGTGTAGATATTTCTTTCTTGTATCAAGAATATTTGCAAAGCTTTTAATGGTTGGTTGTGTGGTGACAATATGTTATTTAGTTTGCTTAATATGTTATTTAGTCCACTAATTTAAAGCCCCCCTGGATCATAGGGAGTGTAAACACAGAGAGAATCCAATACAAGCAGAAAATTGTGCGCTCTTTGTATGTACTGTATTGGAGAGGGTAAAAAACCAAATTTTTTTTCGCATGGTACTCTGAAAAAAAGGTTCTTAGACAACTCTAAGGAAGAATATCCAAATATGAGCTCTTAAGTGTACCGGGAAAGTCTTCCGCTTTACAGTTATTTAATTAACTAATAAATAAATTTTAATTTCACTCACGGTTAGCAAAATTAGTTTATAACGAAAAAAGGAGTTGATTTAGGTGGGTGCTCGAACCGAAGATCAGATTGTTAGCGAGTGGTAAAGCGAAAAAGCGAGCGGGATCCCTTTTTAGTCCCTTATATACAATGATATCTATTGATGTCTTCATGGTAGTGTGATCGTGGTAATGTTGTATTTGTGTGCGTGTTGGTGCATCGTGTAGTGATGTGGAATGTATGGTAAGTAGGTGTGGCGATGTGAATGTGAATTGATGTGGTGAATGTGGTGTGGCAGTGTCTTATGGTAAGGGGGATTGAGTGGTCATTTAGCCATCCCGGCCCCCCTAGGCAAATCATTAGCCTAGTAGTCGCTGACGACGCCGGGTGTACCGCACGAGTTGAGGGTTGAGGTAAAGGATATGGATGATCGTGCCACGCTATGTGGCATGAATTGGTCGTCGTATTGATCCACCATTTTTAATTAGTTATTTGTTATTTTTAACGGTTATTAGCGAGTTTTTCGGGTTTTTGCTTCTTGATTTGATTATTTTATTATATTGCGGTAGTATCGGTTGATTGCTCGCGACTTGCTGTGTCGCTATTATCGACGGTTGGGA